CTTTTTTATCTTTTTTGTATCTCTCGTTCTCTATCCTTTTTCTTTTTGTATACCTGTCTCTCTTTCACTCTCTGTATGTCTCTCTTTCACTCTCTGTATGTCTCTCTTTCACTCTCTGTACGTCTCTCTTTCACTCTCTGTACGTCTCACTTTCACTCTTTATTCTTATTTGTTCGTCTGCCGGATATTAAAGGAAGCAGTAAATAGCCTATCGATAAAAAGTTAGTCGTCTCTTATCCTTAATATATCTGTAGTAGGGAGAGGGAAGTTTTTGGTATATTTAAAAAAATAAAATAAAATGAACTAACAAGTCTTATGACGAAGACAAAAACTGAAGGTAGAAAATTTACTTAATAAACTGCACGAACGTTTTGGTCAAAGCAAAATAAAATTAATTTCAGTCAGTAAAATGTATTTCAGTCAATTTTGGTAAAAAATTTAGGAGCTTTAGTGTGTGTGTGTGTGTGTGTGTGTGTGTGTGTGTGTGTGTGTGTGTGTGTGTTTTGTTCTTTATTATTATTTTGAAAAAACCGGTAGACCAATAATGAAAAGTATTAACGAACATGTATATGCCTTTCCATGTTATCCTCAATATCCTTCAGTAGATCCACATTTCTCTTGCTTCAAGTCTATTCTTCATCTTTGAGGAGATTGTCCAGTATTCGCTGCTATATAGGATATATATCACGTAAGAGTTCAGTACTCTTTTCTTTGTTTCTAAGAATTTTTTTCTTTCTCTTAATACTCTGCTTAGCTTTAGAAATGCATCTTTGGCCATCCCAAAGAGTCTTCGTATTTCAGTTCCGTACTGTTAGAACACTTTCCAGATATTTAAATGTTTGTACCTGCTTGATTTTAGTATCCCCGATTTGTAATTTGCATTTTGGTCTGTCCGTTTTGCTAAGAACCATGCATTCTCTCTTTTTGTAGTTTATTTGGTAGTTTATAGTTAGTCCTTTCTTCTCGCATTTCTTCGCTACATTCTAGAGGAGTTTTTGTGGTTTCCTTTCCGTGTTTGCTGCATATCTTATAAGATTGTGGCCGCCAAAAAATGAATCCTGGGAAGACTTCTAATTCTCTCAGAATTACCTACGAAGGACGAGATTTTAGAGAAAATGAAAACAAAAAGGAAAATTATTCTTAACAGCAGTTGAAATTTCTATGTCACGTGAGGAGCAAGTAGTGCTTCAAAATTCGGTATTTACCCGAGCTCCCTACAGAGCGGTATGTGGCACAAGCCCGGTTTTACGTGGGGGTTTTTTCTGAGCCCGTAGGCATTGGCAAAAATTCCGCGTAATAACGGGATCAGGTTTGTCTACCACGCCAGACGAGTCTCTGCCCTTCGACACAGCCTCGTCTGGGTTCCTCTCAGAGGGTTCGAAAAGCACTAAGATCTAAGCGCGTGGCTAAGAGCTAATGCTAACTCTAATGAGGAAGGGGTGCTTGGAAAGTCTGATACTCACAGTACAGATTGAGGGGAAATAGGGACAAAAAAGAGCAGCGCGTAACATGCTTCATAAGGTTCAGTAAATGGATGTTAAAACAGGGTTTTGGAGAAATAACAAAACGACAAAACTTATTAAGAACTACAAAGAACAGGAAGATGTGGAGGACTTTGATCGCCTACGTCCGAAAAGGATACGGCACATATACGAAGAAGAAAAATATGACTTTCCAAAAAAAAAAAAAATAAGCTTGTGGGGATAGAAATGTTGTTCAACAAAAACAAATTGCTGAGAATACCATGGACGAAACATTTGAGAAACGAGGAAGTTTTAAAGGTAAAAAGAAGAAAAAAACATTTACACTTAAAATGAGAAAGAGGAAATTTAAATTTTGGGGACAAATGATGAAGAAAGGCGGCTTGGGGAATTTGACACTCAGAGGGTATATTGAATCCAAAATTGGCAGAAGGGAGCAGCATATCTAATGAAATGAATAGTAGAACATGTACAGAAATGGACAGTAAGAAGACAACATTGTGCTCCAAAAAATAGAAAATCGTGTAGAATCCTGATCACTTTCGTTCTGAAGAAGAAATATTTATCTCGTATATATTTATAAACTGAATTTGTCATAGTTTTTTGCGACAGAGATTCCTTTTTAAACTACTTTGATAAAAAAAAAAATAGTCGACCTATACACGAGTCGTATTGAGATGTATGTGTATTTATTATATACAAGCCTGTGAATGTTTAACAAAACTCTGTTTTCCTTAAATCGACGCGATATATATGATGCGGTGAGCTCGTACAGCCTAGCATAGAAACCCAGGATTGGACAAAGAATTTGAAAAAGCCCAACAAATGCTAATAAGTAACAGAAAAAAAAAACATCAAATTCCTATATGGAATCTTCAGGTTTCGCTGATTAAGCCGCCGGGCACAAAACTCCTGAGGAAGAAAAAATAAATGAAAATTCTCTCAAAAAAGATTCAAAGGAAATATTTGGATAAGGAGAGCAAGGCAGGATGTTTTGGAGAGTAAGGTAGGTGTGCTGG